AAAAGAAAAAGTGAAAAAAAAATGGTGAGTGTGATAATACTAAGTGCTAAAGACAGACAAAGAAACTCATGTGGTACAGGAGTGGTCTGAGGAGTACCATGTAGCTTCAAAGTTGTAAACAAGAATTAAGTAAAAAATATCTTTCCAGGAAGGTAAAGGTGTAAATCAATGTATCAGCTGCAATAAAATAATATTTCAGTGAAAGTGACTTGAACAATGAAATTATGTAATCTCTTGTCATAAAGTGTTCAGAAATAAGCAGAGGCAGAACTGGTTGGTGGCACCATTCACTGAGAACAGCCTGAACAACAGGGAGAGCCTGTCTCTACAAAAAAAAAAAAAAAAAAGAAAAGAAAAATTAGCCAGCTAGGTGCACATGCCTGTAGTTCCAGCTACTCAGGAGACCAAGGCAGGAGGATTCCTTCAGCCCAGGAGTTTGAGGTTGCAGTGAGTTATAATGACACCAAGTGCACTCTAGCCAGAGTAACAAATTATATCCTGTCTCAAACAAACAACAACAATATATATATATTTATCTTACTGGTCAGAAATGGACCAGATATACAACTGTAAACCAATCACTGGCACAAGGGAATGGTATTACCATAATTGGTTTACATAATTGGTCACTTCCAGCACCTAACTTCCCTGAGAACATTATCACCACATAGCTAACAAAATGGATACCCTGTTAGCAAAACAGAAAAGGGAAAATACTTTTTGCCACATTTGGTAAATGTAATCAATGTAATTAAACCTAAGATGTTCATACATTACATCTGCAAGCATTAAACTATAATATAGGCCTGAGGACAGTACCTGAGTCTTGCCCTACTTTTATAATATAGGTTGGGCAGAGTTCTGTGATGGTAGAGCATGAAGTATAGTATCTATGGTTAAAAAAAAAAAAAAAAAAAAAGATTGCTTTTTCAGTCCCCAAAATATTAAATACACAAATGAAACTCCCCAGGCCATCAGAAAAAAAATGAATGTTTTGTGGAATTGGCTTCTAATTAAATCAGAAAGTTAATTTCCTGCCCCATACCAAATTGTACTGAACCAAAATGTGGAGGAGTGGACCCCAGGCACTAGCATTTTTTAGCATTAGTTTTCCAGATACTTTGGGGCAACCAGGTTTTGAAAGCACAACTCTAGAGTAAAAGTGCTTAACCAGTTACTTTGGATTTGAAATCTCCAGGAAGTGTGGTAGAAACTGAAGTAATTTTATCTGGCCTTATATTTAAACACTCCCTGCCTTAGGCCACTGGAAATTGAATTTTTTCTCCTCCTGCCTTTTTGCTTTCTTCTTCACTTCTCTTCAAAGTCCTATTGCACTACTGACTTCTGTCACAATTTCTGCTGATTTCCTGCTCCGATCACTTTTATTATCACTATCTGACTCTCACGTTCAACTTCTTAACAACTTCCCTTACATCTTGATAGGGAGAAAACTCATTGTCACTACCAGCACCTATACTGATGTATTAAAAGAAAGAAATCCAAAACAGATTGTCCATATGCATAGATATACTTCCTCATACCAGCAAGTTCTATAATGATTAACACTGGAGACAGCAAAATTAATATTTTTTATAAAATTAGATTTTTTGAAATTCCTAATTATTTATGTACACATTTTATTGAAGTAAGATTTAGAGTGTATTATTTATTTGATTCCAAAATGTGCATGTCCTGCAGTTTTCTTTTTTCTTTTTCTTATTTTTTTGAGACAGAGTCTTACTCTGTTTCCTGGGCTAGAGTGCCCTGGTGTCAGCCCAGCTCACAGTAACCTCAAACTTCTGGACTCAAGCAATCCTTCTGCCTCAGCCTCCCAAGTAGCTGGGACTAAAGGCATGTGCCACCATGAACGGCTAATTTTTTCTGTATATATATTTTTAGTTGGCCAATTAATTTCTTTCTATTTTTAGTAGAGATGGGGGTCTCACTCTTGCTCGGGCTGGTTTCAAACTCCTAACCTCAAGCAATCCTCTCTCCTTTGCTTCCCAGAGTGCTATGATTACAGGCATGAGCCACCATGCCCGACCTGTCCTGCAGTTTTGAGAAACAGAATATTTTAAAGGCAAAAGAACAAATAGTTTTCATCCTTTGCATAATAACTATCTAAGCCAGAGAGGCTGCATCATATGTTCACCATGATTGGGACCATTGGGAGCCTAGGATTAAATCCCAGCTGTTTACCATCTGCTTAATCAGGATCAAGTTAATTAACCTGTTTTACTATTTGTTTTGACAGGTGTGAAATGGGTCCATAACCTCTTTCTCAAGATTATTATGAATATTAAACAAGATAATAGTTTCTATATGAGCACTATCAACATTATTATGTAATTATTTTATGTTTAGAGACAAAAGGGGTAGCTTATATTAAACTACAGATTTAAATTAATATTTTATATGCGTACATGAACTGTTTTTAAAAACAATCTAAATGTTCCTCTCAAATACAGTTAAAGTAAACATCATACATTTTAAATTTACAAGGAATAAAAATAGTTTAAAATGTCATACATCTATGTCTGATTTTTGGCATCCAATGCTTGAGATTGTAAGTAAAGAATTGTCAAGATTATTTCTTCCCAGGAATCAGGTCCTTGATGTGAGTAATTAAAATCATGTGCACATGATGGCTAGCCTTTATTCATTAATTCAAATAATGAAAACTACTCAGAGTGTAGTTCAAACTCAAGCAGAGTAAGAGAGGTTGATAAACTTTTGAACAGATTGTATTACCAATCACTACTAACCCTACTGTTAGTTTTTTATTTATTTATTTTTTTTTATTAAAACAGGGTCTCACCTTACTGCTCTGGCTGGTCTTGAACTCCTTGCCTCAAGAGATCATCTGGAATATGTGGTACCATAGGAGTGTGCCACCACCTCCCCTGACTCCCCAACATATCCCTTCTTTTGTAATTGAAGGGAGATTCCGTTTAGCCCTGTGACTTCTGTGAAGGAGGGAAGAAGATGAGACTTGGACTTGAAGTATTGATGTATGCAGTTTCTGGGGAGGTAGGAAGATTGGATTTCAAACTGAGCCACTCTGACATCTTTTTTCCAGAGAGCAATAGCAGAACAGGACACTCTTAGCCTTGGGCTCCATTACTGTTTGTGTTCCCCCCAAATTCTTATCTCTAAGATTATTGTATTAGTAGGTAGGGCCTTAGGAAGGTAATTAGGTTTACATGAGGTCATGAGGGTGGAACCCTCATAATTGGATTAGTGCTCTTTTAGAAAGAGGAAGAAATACAAGAGCTTCTCTCTCCATCATATGAAGATTCAGCAAGAAGATGGTCGTCCGCACGCCAGAAAAAGGTCCCTTATCAAGAACTGAATGTACCAGCACCTTGATCTTGGAATTCCAACCTGAAAAACTGTGAAATAAATGTCTATTACTTAATGTCTCAGTCTTTGTTATTTTATCTCAGCCTAGGCTATTTAAGGCAGGCTTATCCAAGAATGTGATGTATTTTCCCTCCTTGCTTTTAGAAGGGGAAGGAAAGACATAAGTTGTCCTTTTCTAACCAGGATGACTATTCTTTAGAGCCTTCCTATGGCACAGATCATTGGGGCATTATCTCTCTGTCTGTAATGATTAATAATATTCTTTTCAGTTTCTTTGACTTGGAGATAGAGTAGAATGCCCTATTCTTCTGAATATATTTCTGGAAAGGCCTCAGGGTACTGACAAACTTGCCAAAATCCCTAAACTCTCAGTCTTTTTAAACTGATGGAGACAAGTCTTTCCAAACATCAAGAGAGAAGCATGTCTTAACACTTTCCAAGACCTCATCAGAGCTAGTCCTTCCATCTTAATCAATCACTATAACTCAGGAGTCTGGGAAGTCCATGTTTCCCCATGTCTAGAGCTCTCACTGACACTCACTTATTCCAAATTTCTGGTATACTCCATGTCTTTATAAATATATACCTTGGATTTGGAAGTTAATAAACGGAATTTGGCTTCCAATGAGTACTGTGATCATTTATAACACAGCACACTGCAGTTTATTTTCTGCAACACCTGGCTGTACTCATGAGTTTAAGCCAACAATGTCTCATTAGGAAAAGAGACTGGGTTCTTTCAGGATACAGTCTAATAGAGAGTCTCAAATTTTATACCTAGCCCTGATGGGCTTGCCAACCTTCATTAGCATCCTTGTCTAAAACATCTGTAAATTCTGTAGTAAATTCTCTGGTTCTATCCAGCTAGCCATGTCCATGATTTCATATATTATGTCCTAGAATGTTTACAGGAGCACAATCTACAATTGCAAAGATGTGGAAACAACCCAAGTGCCCATCAATACATGAGTGGATTAATAAAATGTGTTATATGCATAACATGGAGTTCAAATCAGCCACACACACACACACACAAAAAAAAAAAAAAAAAAAAAAACAACAATGGTTATCTAGCACCTGTTGTATTATCCTGGATAGAACTGGAGCTCATTCTACTAAGTGAAGTATCACAAGAATGGAAAAAACAGGTATCCCATGTACTCACCATAAAATTGGTATTAACTGACCAACAACTAAGTGCACATATAGTAATAACATTCATCAGGTGTCAGGCAGATGGGAGTGAGGAGGAGAGGTTGGATATATACACACCTAATGGGTGTGGTGTTCATTGTCTGGGGGAGGACACACTTGAAGTTCTGACTTGGGTGAGGCAAAGCCAATATATGTAACTTAAACATTTGTACCCCCTTAACATACTGAAATTAAAAAAAAAATAAAATGAGAACTCTGCTAAAGCAAAAACATTTTCTAAATTTCAGAGAATCATGAAACATTATTAGACAAAACCTAAAAGCAGTCTTTCCACTGATAAACCAACGCCTTTAGGGTCACAGAAATCTGGTCTACACGTGTAGACAGCTGTATGTTTTGGAGTTCCAACTCTGGAAGCCTGTGAACAAATGATTATGACTATAAAATAATACACTATAAACCTGACTAGTCTTCATAGCCCACTGAAAACACTAAAGTTCACAGAAAATTTTGGTCACTTCCATAGAGTGGTAACAGTATCTGATAATCCACTTCCCATGAAACTTCTCCAAGCCAAAGAGTAGCCTTGAAGAACTTGCCTTGAAGTTCTTGAAACATGCTTATTTTTCACCCTTTCCAAAATCTGTAGAGCCTCTGGAAAGCAAAAAGACAAAATTTTACTTTTGAACTACTCCCCCGATCATGACCCTCTTTTGGTGGTGATGTATATCTCTACAGGGATGGCACACTTCAACCCCTCTACAGGTCCCTTGCGTTTACCTACAAAAAAGGTATTGTTTCTTCCTGACACTGTTCACCACATGAATTTCAACAGATACCTAATGCTATTGAGCTAATTCACAATAAATTTTGAAAGGCCAGGTACAGGAAGAACAGATCACAATGTCTCCAACCAACTATGCAAGAAACTAGATCTCTCTTCAAAATCACCAATGTTGTAGTCTTTCAGTTGATTTCCCACCCTATGGTTATAAGTGAAATATTTCATGTTAGGCCTGCAAAGACCCTGCTTATGTCAACTATGAAGTCCCAAGGTGTAAAACCAGAATATGCAGCAAAAACTTTCTGTGCATTATAGAACTGAAAAGGCCCTATTCTAAATGATACTATTTTCTAAAAGAGAGATTCTGTTCTTCCATTTTAGGGAGAAAAAGAGAGGTATAATAGCATTGCTAATTCTGATCAGGATATCACTGGGTGGGAGCTGGATACTATTTAGGTAAAATTAGTTTCCCTCTAATTTGTTCCCCTTACCAAAGTGTGCACAGTTTTCAACAGAGAGCCCAGTGGTCTCATCAATATAGTCCTGTATGACTAAGGGAAATTCACTCAGAATTCATTCATTCAGAGAATTTAGGATTAACCATTTAGCTTTTGGCCCCATTTAGCCTCAAAATTGAAAATACCATGAGAGACAAGTTGGACCTACATATTAAGATTTATCATTTCAGTTCTGTGCAAATGTGAAAGTCTCAGTTGTGTTGTTATATTTCCCATAAGGTTCAAGTCTAAAGCCTTTAGTTGTAAGGTATCCTGGGTGGAAAAATGACAAGTGGCTATAAATTCTCATTGTCAATTTGGCATTCCCTCTATGACTTTCAATGTGTGTCTGTTTTACCTCCAGATCTTTGTACTTGGAAGTTCTTTGTTTCCTAAATCCCTTAAGACCCTAGAAGATCACATGTTACTTTAGTGAAGATTCCAACCTAGCTTCTAATCTCTTATTCAGTCAAACTTCCACAAATACCTGGTAGAGAAAACTATCATATATTTCAGGATTGCCAAGTCTCCAATTTTGTCACATCAGTTCTGCACAACCAATAAAAGATTTGAAAATTCTACTGCTCCCTACAAGAAGAGAATTCTATTAGAACATCTTTTATCACATGGACCTAGACATTCACTTATATTGGCAGTTCAAAGTGATAATTTAGGTAAGGTTGATATGAACTATTAGCTCTGAGTCAGTATTTAATAGACTTTGAAAAGTTTATTGTTTACCTACATATATTAAATATTGTCATAATAATTCCTTAAGAAAAAGAAGGTTCAAAAACTTGTAATAGTTCAAAGTACGTCTGAGTCAGACTCGTGAGTCAGTGTCAGGTGCTTGAATCATTGTGCCTGGAAATGAATTCAAAATTCACTACACTTGTAATATTTTGCCTAAATAAACAACCCTCTTTAAGCTTTCCTTACTATGTCTATGTAATATGTTAATAGTACCAGAGCAACACAGATTTTTAAATTAATTGAAACGACAGATGCAAATGTCCAACACACTACTTGACACAGAGTAAACACTCAATGCATGCTAATAAATATAATAAAAGTCATTAGCAATAAAATTGAAATGTGATGCTGAGATTATTAGTCAAAGATCTACCCTTTATGTATACATTCCATAGACATTAGCCACTGGAATCAAAAAAAGGCTTATCTTTTCTCTTTGCTGATTACTTTGTCTTCACATCTATTATTACAAATAATCAAGCAGTTTCATTTTCTACTTTTGGAAATAGTTTTAATGGAGGAAATTGAGCTGCAATCTTTTAAGCACATGTTTCTCTATTGTGAATGAAAGAATATATTTAGTATTCAGTTCTTCTGGGTCAACGATCTAGCTATTTCTTTCTCATCTAAATTTAGATTTTTCAATCCAATGTTTCTGCTACCAACCCCCTCGCCACGCCCAAAGTATAATTTTGTCTTTCATTACAGGCATTGTTAATGCTTTCATTTGATCCTAACACTATATTTATCTTGGATTTTGCTCTACCTCTAAAATGTAGTGGGCTAATTTTAGGACTCTACTGAAGGGTTGAAATGTGTTACTTCTAAATTTACCCTCACAGTAAGTTTTCATGAATAATAGAATTTAGTATTTCTTCTCCATTATCTGGTTTTAACCACTATTAAAATGCTATATTCTTAGAAGAAAAAAAAAGGCCTTTACATTTAAAAACCTGTTATATAAAGATTCCAAAAAGTGATATTAAATATACACACACCATTCCAAATTTTTAACTGAACTCTTCGTGAAATGACCTAGATAGACAAGTTTTTACATACTCTTAGTTTTTTAAAAAAGCAATCCCTATTAAATTTGACCCTGTAGAAATTATCATTGTATTCATACATTTACAGACATTGTACTTTAAATGTGCTTTACATGTTCCTTTGAATGTTACACACAGATCTGTTATTGTATAAGCCATGCACCCTTTAGTGCTCAGAAAAATGACTCTTCTCCTCTCAGTTGTTTCTTCTTCCATTCATTTGGTCAGGTTCTCATAATACTGGAACCATCTAATTGGAGGATTTCTCACCTATCATCGCATCTGAGCAGAGCCATTGAAATGCATTAGAAACAGTCCATTCACATGCAGGTGAAGAGGGATACTGAGAACATAGATACAAGTTATTAGAAAAGTCATTAAAGTCTCAATTAGGCAATTGTTTATTATTAGATATCTACAGAAACTGTATGATTAAAATAATAATTACCACAATTGTCAGAAAATTGTCCTATGCCAAATGTGTAGAGTTGCTGTATATTTGACCACACTAACATACAATTTGGTGGAGGAAAAGATGGCCTACATTGTGTCAAACATAAAGACACAAAGATGTACAGAAACAAACATAACAACACATACCACATAATCCCTAACATGTTTACGTATTAAAAGTAAAATTGTAGAAGTTTTAGCACAGAATATAGCAAATAATATGTTTATCACATTGAAGTAACTTAAAATTTCTTAAAAAACACAAAATAGACAAGCATAAAGGAATATATTATACATGACACTACATTGAAATTTAATATTTCTATATATCAAAAGTCACATTCGTATACAATACGAATAGGAGAAA